GAGAGGTAGGAGGAGGGCGGAGGATGAGGAGGAGGAGGAGGAGGGGGAGGAGGGATGAGGAGGAGGAGGAGCAGGAGGAGGAGGGGGGAGGATGCGGAGAGGAGGAGGGGGAGGCGGAGGAGGAGGAGGAGGAGGGGGGGGGGAGGGGGAGGACGGAGGATGAGGAGGAGGAGGAGGAGGAGGAGGAGGAGGAAGGAGGTGAGGAGGAGGATGAGGGGAGAGGAGGGAGGAGAGGGAGGGGGGAGGGATGGGGGAGGAAGAAGGGGGGGGGGGGAGGGGATGGGGGGGGAGGGGGTGGTGGAGGGAGGCAGGGGGGGAGGACGGGGAGGGAGGGAGGGAGTGAGGGGGGGCGGAGGGATGGAGGGAGGGGGGAGGGAGGGACGAGGGGGGGAGGGAGGGGGGAGGACGGAGGGAGAAGGAGGGGAGGGATGGAAAGGAGGAGGAGGAGGAGGGGAGGAGGAGGAGGAGGAGGAGGAGGAGGAGGAGGAGGAGGAGGAGGAGGGGAGGGGGAGGCGGAGGCGGAGGCGGAGGCGGAGGAGGAGGAGGTGGAGCTTGAGGCGGATACGGAGGCGGAGGAGGAGGAGGAGGAGGAGGAGGAGGAGGAGGAGGAGGAGGAGGGGAGAGGGGAGAGGGGAGAGGGGCCCGCTGGGTGCGTTAGCGTCGCGTCGGACGTCCTACCCCTCCTTCCCATCCCTTGCCATGGCGTAGATCTCCTATCTATCCGCAGAGTCGGATGTTGAGCAGGGCAATGATCCCAATAAGGTACGCGATGTATGCGACAGCACGGCGTGGCATTTCTCAGTGAAGCAGCGCATCACAAAACATAGCGTCGCAAAACATGGCATCGCACAGCGGTGCACAACGCAGCATCATATTGCATGGCGTGGCATGGCATCGGATGATTGGAGGGTAAGTGGCCCGTCTACGAGAGGACAGGGCCTGTCCAGAATGCCCGATCCATGTCCTCCGCAACCGTGCCTGCTCGATGTGGGCGCTTTCGAATGCCAAGTACCGTCCAGAGGCGCGGGATCGAGGGTGGCGCTGCAGCGGGAGCACGATTTTGAATGACCGAAGCGCGGAAATGAGGGCGCCGCTGCAGCGGGAACTCTATATTGGAAGAGCCAGAAGTGATTGGATTGAAAAAAGCACAGGAAGCACATGATAATGCGTGTAAGACAGTATGCGGAGAGGACGGGGCACTCTCCGGACAGAGTCAGGGGTGAGAGGGAAGTCGTATTCATGTAGTGTAATTGTGGAGGGGAGAGGGGAGAGGGGAGAGAGGAGAGAGGAGAGAGGATAATGGAGAGAGGAGAAGGAGAGAGGAGAGAGGAGAGAAGATAGAGGGGAGAGGAAATGAGAGCGGAGAGATGAGAGGAGGAGAAGGAGGAGGAGGAGGAGGAGGAGGAGGAGGAGGAGGAGGAGGAGGAGGAGGAGGAAGGATGAGGAGGAGGAAGGAGGAGGAGGAGGAGGAGGAGGAGGAGGAGGAGGAGGAGGAGGAGGAGGAGGAGGGAGGAGGAGGGAGGAGGAGGAGGAGGAGGATGAGGAGGAGGAGGAGGAGGAGGAGGAGGAGGGAGGAGGAGGAGGAGGAGGGAGGGAGGAGGGAGGAGGAGAGGAGGAGGGGAGGGGGAGGGGGGGGGAGGAGGAAGAGGAGGAGGAGGAGGGGGAGGAGGAGGAGGAGGAGGAGGAGGAGGACGAGGAGGAGGACGAGGAGGAGGACGAGGAGGAGGAGGACGAGTAATGCTGCCAGAGCGAGCGCGGAATCCATCATCCAGCCGCGTTCAGGATCAAATGCTTGGAGATTGGCAGCAACCGAATTTATTTTGACGACTCGACCAGCCTTGCTGAAGCTATCGCCCTGGAACATTCCAGCCTTGAAATGCTACGGTGATGCAAGTGAGTGAGAGTCCCAACAAATATGTGCAATGGTGCTCTAGGGTCGCTTCGTGGAGCTTTATCCTCTTCTCGCAAGAAAGAGATTGGCACCAACACCAACACCTGAGAATGTCTCCACCGGGGGGCAAGATGGTCCCCGATCCCGGTGTCGGTGGTAATCTTTTGGCCACCTGGGGAGCCTGAGCACTACCATCATCACGGAGGATCCTCGGTGGAGGCGGCCGCCGATATTGGTGTTGGTGCCCACCTTTGAGCCTCTCACAGGTGTGGCGCTTCGCCGCAGTGGCCCATGGTGCCCGGCCTTCGTGGGGCCGGGTGTCAGCAGAGGAACGGATGCCGCTGCCGCTGCTCGTCCCGGAGAGCCCTCGCCGCCACGGCCGGACTCGCCTCGAGAATCTGGTCAGGACGCACCCCGGGACCCTGGGGGAGGTGGCGCTGCCTCTATCTTTCCTGTCGGCGGCGAGTGGGAGTGACCCTTCGCTGGAGGGGCTCTTGGTGCGGACCCGCAGGGGTCCCCCCCCAAGCACCGACCCGAAGCTGCCGATGCGCCCAGAGTCGGCCTCCGTGTCCTCCGAAGTGCGCGCATGCCGGCGGAGCCCCCTCGTGGCAACGCTCCTTTGCAGAGCCCTCTTCCCTCCTCCCCTCCGTCCTCCCCTGCGAGGCCACGGCCTCGCGCGCCTTGCCCAAACGGGCACGGGCACACACACACACACACACACCTCACGCACGGCGGGGCGAGAGCGAACCTCTTCCGCTAAAAGCTAGGCGGGCTACGCACAGCTCTAATTAGGGAGACAGGGCACAGGAAGGCGGGGCCTCAGGCGGCCAGGAACGGGCGGGGCCCGGGGAAAAGGCGGTGCCGAAGTGGATGTGCAGGAAAAAATACGCCTTGGACAGGAACCGAGGGCGAAGTCCCGGAAGGCGAAGGGAGTGGTGTTGCCGTCAACGGCGCTCCGCGAACACCAGCCTCAAGTACTGCAGGGGAGGTCGCGCCACGTGACCAGGCCGACCGACAGGAAGCCGCTGAGCTGCAGGGATAAAACCTGTCCTGCATCGGCAGCGCGTGAAGACGGGCAGCAGCCACGCACGATGCGCTGACGTCCGCAATGCCAAGGGCCAGGCCTGAGCCGCGCAGCGCCATGGTTAGCGGGGCGCCGAGGCGGCAAGGTGCAGCACCTAGCACCGGGCCGAAGCCGCGAAGTGCCGGGCGCTGCCGCCATGGGAGGGGGGGGGAAGCGAGCGGGAGGGGAAGAAACGAACAGGAAGGAAAAGGGCCGGCGCTGACCGCCAGCCGTCGACGTGCTAGCCCGCACCGTCGGTGCTCACTTGGGTGGAGCTGGGCACCCAGTGGGATCAGGTGGGACACGCGGTCCCAATACACGTTAAAGACAGGAGGGGGAGGTGGGGAGCAGGTCAACAGGTCGCCGAAGACGTGGACCAGGCTGACTTGAACGCAAACTGAGTGGCGTCAGCGCGTAGCCCTGCCCCCCGTGGCAGCGTCCCTCATGTCGCGCATGCCCGTCTCGTGCGCCCACCTGAGACGGGAGTGCCGGTGGGCTGCCAGGCTCCTGCAGCCGGCGCTGCAGCCTCTGCCGATGTCGGAACAGATGGGGGATCAGGAGGACACGCGGTCTCAGGCCCAGGGGCGAAGGGGGAGGGGGAAGGGGGATCAGGTGGTGTGCGTGGCCAGCGGTGTGTTGGTTGCTCACGGAGTACTGCCGCAGTCTGCAGGGAACGGAATGAGCCGGGCGTGACACCCTGCGCACCGGGAGGGAGGGGAGGAGGAGGGAGGAGGAGGAGGAGGGGGAGGGAGGAGGAGGAGGAGGAGGAGGGGGAGGAAGGAGGAGGAGGATGAGGAGGAGGAGGAGGAGGGAGGAGGAGGAGAGGAGAGGAGGAGGTCAGCGTCTGGGGCGCTTCCCAGTCCAGTTGCGCGCCCTGCCCTCTCCGCCCTTCACCTTGGGCTTTCCTTCACTCCTCCTCCTCCTCCTCTCCTCCTCCTCCTCCTCCTCCTCCTCCTCCTCCTCCTCTCTCTCTCCTCCTCCTCCTCCTCCTCTCCCTCCTCCTCCTCCTCCTCCCCCCCCCTCCTCCTTCCTCCACCTCCTCCTCCTCCTCTCCTCCTCCTCCTCCTCCTCCTCCCTCCTCCTCCTCCTCCGCCTCCCAATCCACGCCCCCTCCGCTTCCTCTGGAACTCCTGATGCAGGGTGTTTTCGCGGTCCCAGTCGATGTAGACGCCCGCGTTCCGGGACCAGGTGCCCACGTCGTGGTGGCTGTGAGCCATTTCGTCCAGGAAGCGGTCGATCATGTCGGGCTGCCAGCAGGACGGGTCAGACTTGACTTGGTTCCTGGTCTTGCCCTTTTCCTGGCCGACGTGCCTGCACCAGGAGTGCCAGGCTGCGGTGAAGTGGTAGCCTCCCTCGACCTTCAGCCTTTTTCAGTTGGGTGGTCGCCGTCTCGTCTGGGCGTCTCGGCCAGTGGACGCGGCGGTCTTCCCAGGGGCGGTTGTGGACAGGGCGGCGGCACGGTGTAAGCGTGGACCTCGGCGGTGTCGAGGTTCCAGGACGGTGTGCATCGTTGGCGATTCGAAGGCATGGCAGCCAGCGCGGTGCGATTGACGCGTCACACCAGGCTGCGCTGTCGGCATGATCAGGAACAGGCACGGGATCGGGGCGACTATGCCCGGGGTCGGCCTCCGTGGCCTCCGAAGTGCGCGCATGCCGGCGGAACCCCCTCGTGGCAACGCTCCTCTGCAGAGCCCTCCTCCCTCCTCCCCTCCGTCCTCCCCTGCGAGGCCACGGCCTCGCGCGCCTTACCCAAACGGGCACGGACACACACACGCCTCGCCGGCATCTGCTGGGATCGGTGCCTCGCTCGCTCGGCCTCCTCCCTCCTCCCACCCTCGCATCCCCCTTTCCCCCTTTCCCCTCCTTCCTGCCTCATCCTCTGTCCTCGTTCACCCTCCTCTTCCTCTCCCTTCCTGGCCCACCCTCCTAATCCCTCCGCATCCCTCCTCCTCTTCTCCCTCTTTCCTGTTTTTGTCCCCCATCCCTCCTGCTCCCTCCTTCCCTTTGCCTCTTGGCTCGGCTGCTTCGAGCAGAGAGACACATCAGGAGACTGAGCACATCAACAACCCGCACAGGATCTCCAGTGCGCATCCCCAGGCACACAATTTGTTTTGCCATATGAAGACGAAGACAGCGACGATGAGTATGAGGAGGACGATGATCATGTTGGTTGCAATGATATCGGTGACGATGGTGACGCTAGTGACGAGGAGGAGAAGGGACGACAACGACCACGATGATGAGGTGGTGATTACGATTACGGTGGTGGTGTTGATGACGATGGTGACGCTAGTGACGAGGAGGAGAAGCGATGACCACAATCATGATGACGACCATGATAACGATTATGATGATGAGGATGATGATGCTGATTGTGATGGTGACGATGATAATGATGCTGCGGCTGATGATGATGCTGATGATGAATACGATTATGATGAATACGATGATGATGATTATGATGATCCGGATGATTATGATGATGCCGATGCTGCTGCTGATGATGATGCTGATGCTGAGGATGATGATGCTGATGATGATGATGCTGACGACGATGTTGATGACGATGACGATGATGCTGCTGATGATGATGATGCTGCTGATGATGCTGATAATGATGCCGATGATGACCATGATGACGACGATGCTGATGATCATGATGCTACTGCTGATGATGCTGACGATCCTCATGATGATGCCTATGATGATGATGATGATGATGATGATGATGATGATGATGATGATGATGATGATGATGACGATGGTGGTGATGATTATGATGATGGCGATGATGACGATGATGCTGATGATGATGCTGATGACGCTGATTATGTTGCTGATGATGATGTGGATGATGATAATGCTTATGATGATGATGTTGATGATGATGATGCTGATGTTGCTGATGATGATGCTGATGATGCTGCTGCTGATGATGATGCTGCTGCTGATGATGCTGATGCTGATGCCGATGTTGATGCTGCCGCTGATGATGATGATGCTGATGCTGCTGCTGATGATGATGATGATGATGATGATGATGATGATTCTACTGCTGCTGCGGCGGATGATGATGATGATGATGATGATGATGATGATGATGATGACGATGATGATGATGATGATGATGATGATGATGATGATGATGATGATGATGATGATGATGATTATGATGCTGATGCTGCTGATGATGATGCTGATGATGATGATGCTGATGATGATGTTGCTGCTGCTGATGATGATGATGATACTAAGGATTATTATGCTGATGATGATGCTGACGATGATGATGATGATGATGATGATGATGATGATGCTGACGATGATGATGGTGATGATGATGATGATGATGATGATGATGATGATGGTGGTGATGATGATGATCATGATGATGGTGGTGATGATGATGATGATGATGATGACGATGGTGCTATGATGATGATGATGATGATGATGATGGTGGTGGTGATGCCGATTACGGTGGTGGTGTTGGTGACGATGGTGACGATACGGACGATCACGATGAGTGCAATAGGAATATGAAGTGGATGAGGTGGATGATCATGAGAAGGGAGGGTGGTTTGAGTGGGAGGAGGGAGGAGGAATAGGAGAGGGGGAAGGGATGGGAATGGAGGACGTGTAGGAGGAGGTGAGGAGCATTGCCTTCCCTTTCGCCGCCCTCATGTTGTCGTCGCGGCGTCTTGGCTTTCTCTGCTCCTCCTTGGTTTACCGGGTCCCTACCGCGCGCACGCCGAGGTAGCTTCCTGGAACTCTGTCCGCAACTGAGAAGAAAGAGAAAAGCGAAGGAGAACGATGGTGATGAAGAGAAGGGGGAGAGGAGGAGGAAAAGGATGATGATGAGGATGATGAGGATGAGGGTGATGAGAGGGAGGCGGGCGAGGCGGCGACAGAAAATTTCGATCAGGATGGTGATACCATAGGGTGGGGGGGATCTTACTGGTAGTGGCGCAGAGGCCGACGAGACGACGACGACGAAAATGATGATGATAATGATGATGATGATGATGATGATGATGATGATGGTGGTGATGATGATGATGATGATGCGTATTGCAATGGGGATTCGGATGCTGATGATGAGGATGATTATTATGCTGCTGCTGACGATGCTGATGATGATGCGGATGATGATGCTGATGCTGATGATGACGCTGATGATGATGTTGATGATGATGATTCTACGGATGGCGAAGCCGATGATGATGATGCTGATGCGGATGGCGAGGATGATGATGGTGATGCTGATGATGATGCTGATAATCATGGTGATGCTGATGTTTTATGTTCGGATGATAGTGATGACGCTGTTGATGATGATCTTGATGTTGCTACTGCTGGTGATGCTGATGCTCCTCATGATGATGATGCCTATGATGATGATCGGGCTGCTGATGATGCTGATGTTGATGCTGATGCCGATGATGACGTTCATAATGATGACGATGATGCTGATGACGATGAAGGAGATGATCGCAATGACGATGATGCTGATGATGGTGATGATGATGATTCTGATGACGAGGATGGGTAGGGTGACTCTGTTGATGGTGAGGACGGCGATGCGAATGATTATGCTGCTGCTTCTGATCGTATTGATGATGAGGACGATGATGATGATGATGATGATGATGATGATGATGATGATGATGATGATGATAATGATGATGATCGTGATGATGATTCTGTTTTATGGTCGTTGCGGTCATGCTGATTCCATTTTCATTGTGATTGTGGTGGCAATGGTGATGATGATCATGATGATGATGAGGATGGTGATGATGATGCTAATGATGATGAAAATGATGACGATGGTGAAGATGATGATCATGATTGTGATGATGATGCTGATAATGATGATGGTGCTGATGTTTGATATTCTGATGATGGTGATGATCTTGATAATGCTGATGATGATGATGCTACTGCTGGTGATGCTGATGCTCCTCATGATGATGCCTATGCTGATGATCATTTTGCTCATGATGCTGATGATGATGCTGATGCTTCCGATGACGACGCTTATGATGATGACGATGATGATGATGACGGTGAAGAAGATGATCGCAATGACGATGATGCTGATGATGGTGATCATGATCATTCTGATGACGAGGATGGGTAGGATGACTCTGCTGATGGTGAGGAGGGCGACGCGGATGATCATGCTGCTGCTTCTGATCTTGACGATGATGAGGACGATGATGATGATGATGATGATGATGATAATGATGATGATGATCATGACGATGATGATGATTAGGACTTATCATCATGTTGGTCATGCGGATTTCGGTGCGATCGTGATGGTGGTGGTAATGGTGATGATGATCATGATGATGATGATCATGATGGTAATGACGATGCTGCTGCGGCTGACGATAATGGTGATGATGATCATGATGATGATGAGGACGATGGTGATGATGATGAGGATTATGATGCTGATGACGATGATGATGATGATGCTGACAGGCGCATGCGATTGCGGATGGCGATGCTGTTGGTGACGACGACGACGGCGGCGACGGTGATGATGATGGTAATCATGGTGATGATGATGATGATGATGATGATGATGATGATGATGATGATGATGATGATGATGATGATGATGACAAAGGTGATGATGATGATGATGATGATGATGATGATGATGATGATGATGATGACGATAGTGATGATGATGATTGTGATGATGATTGTGATGATGCATACGATGGTGAGGACGATGGTGCTGATGCTTGATATTCTGATAATGGTGATGATGATGAGGATGATGATGCAGATGCTGATTCTGATGATGGTGATGATGATGCTGCTGCTGCTGATGATGATGATGATGATGATGATGATGATAATGATGGTGGTGGTGGTGTCGATGATGATTACGAAGAAGAATGATGATATTAATCTTGCTGCTATGTAGTGGTTTTGCAGCTGGCGAGGAGTTTGTATGATGACGAGGACGAGGGGGGGTGATGATGATGATATGGAGGACGAGGAGACGGACATCTAGGAGACGAAACACGAGCAAGCGGGGAGTCGTATTCATAGTATGATCTCCTGTGGTCGAGGGTTGGGATAGGACTGGGGTATAGAGGATGTTGGGAAGGGAGGGGGGGGTGAAAGGTAGTCGGGATTGGGGGGCAAGGAGCATGGGAGGGGGATTGGGATAATCTGGGGTTGCTAGGTGGGCGGGGGAGGGAGGGTAGGGGGGTGAGGGGGGAGGTTTTGAAAGGCGGATGGGAGGGAGGACATGTGTGTGTGTAGGTCACGTGTGACCTCGGCATCTGTGGACTACCCCTGCCCGCTGCCTTCGCTACTGCCCCCCCCCCTGGCATCTGCTTTCAGCAGCCGCCTGGGTCGCCTACCCACCCAGCGCTGCCCCGCCGCCGCCAGGCCCCGCTCTGAGCGGGCCCGGCCTCCGTCTTCCTCCTGCCCGCGCAGGGCGTCCTCCTTCCTCCCCCGTGCATGGCGGCCTAATTCTCGTTTTGTGTGCCCGAGTTGCGCACCATCGCCAGCGCAGTGACTCTGCCTAGCCGCCGACGCAAAAAGTGTGTGTGGGTGTTTCGTTTCAGGGGGTTGTGTCATGTGTATCGCGTTGCCAGTCCGTAGCACCGTGCCAATCTGTTTCACATGACCTCAGTTGTGTTTGGCGCTCTGCCCCACCCATTTGCTGGCCTGGCAGCAGTTTCATTTTCTTCTGCGCTTCACTGCCTGTCACCGTCGTGTCGGTGATCCAGTGGCCGCCAATTAACACCAGTCTGCTTGCGCTTCAGTTCACGTATGGTTGAGTCTCCTCAGTTTTCTGGCCGCTGCATATGCGTACGTTTCTAGCACCAATTATCGCTTGCACTTTACAGTGTGCGACGTCTCGTACACTGTGCCTTCGACAGTGCTCGATCGGAGTTAGCAATTCCATCAGCTGCCCGCGCTTGGGAACCCTGTGCGCCGCCGAATTAACAAACAAGTGTGTGTATGTGTGTGTGTGTGTATGTGTGTGGGTGCGATTTATGTTCCCCGCCTGCATCGAATGACATTACTGGATCGGCTTCGGCTTCGTATTTCTCGATCAT